TACAAAGCCACCAAGTTGACGGTAATTTGTTACAGCAGACCCAGGAAACTAGTACAGATATAAATAAAATTCTTGCTACCAGGATTGTCATCAGGGCCTTATTTCACAGCAAAGAAGAAAAAATTTAAATATTCAAAAATGACCATGTCATAATCCTGCAATGAAATAGCTACCGTAAAAATACTGAATTGTTACTTCATAATGAAGGGTTAATATATGACTGAGTATGAACTCTAAATATTTCCCTTGCCATTTATACATTTTCCTAACGGTGAGCATGGCTCCCCAGGTGGCTCACTGGTAAGGAATCTGCCGGCAACTCAGGAGACGTGGGTTCGATTCCTCCATCAGGCAGATCCCCTGGAGAAGGGAATGGCAACCCACTGAAAGATTCTTGCCTGGGAAAATCCATGGACAGAGGAGGCTGGCGGGCTACAGTCCAGGGAGTAACAAAGAATCAGACACGATTCAGTAACTAAACAACAACAACAATTGGTAAGCATCTTATTATTACTTCTGTTGTCGTAAAAACCACATGTTTACTTGCAGGGCGGTATGAGAGTTAAGGATGGTTTGATCTCTTTCTACGAATGAAGGTGGAGGAACTGGAGACAGTTTAGCAGAGGGAGATAAGACAGAATCAGAGAATCCAGGGCTCTAAAGCTTCCTGGCCAAGAGGTTCTTCTTCACATATGCCACAGCCTGGTGTCACAGCCCCCCACCCATGCCCATCTGCAGATCCTCCTCCCTAACGCATGACCCTCCCTTACAGGCAGCTCATTCCCCTTGGCCCTTCACTTCAAGTCTGCTTCCTCCAGGCCCCCACCAACCATGTCTCTCTCTGCCTCCATCCTCTGATGCTGTTCTTTGCAGCTGGATGATGTATTAGCTTCCCAAGGCTGTTATCACAGTCTATTGATACCACAAACAGGTGGCTTAAAACAACATACATTTATCTTCTCACGGTTCCAGAGGCCAGAACTCCAAGGTCAAGGTGGCCATGGGGTGGTGCCTTCTAGAGGCCTTGAAGAAGAAGAGTTCTCTCCCGGCTTCTGGAGGCTTCCAGCAATCCCTGGGTCTCCCAGTAGCCCATCACCCCGATTCCTGCCTCTGTCTTCACATTGCCTTCTTCTCCATGTCTGCCTCCCCTTCTCTTCTCTCCTAAGGACTTACTGTTGGATCCTTAACTAATTACATCTGCAAAGACCCTATTTCTAAATAAGGTCCCATCTGACGCTCTGAACTGTATATGTGTGTGTGTGGTCAGCCGTGTCCGACTCTGCAACTCCATGGACTGTAGTCCACCAGGCTCCTCTGTCCATGAGACTTTCTAGGCCGTCATGAAATTCCATGGGGACGCTATTCAACCCACTAGGGGTGGTCTGCAACTTCTTTCTCTGTCCACTTCTTCAAGACTCAGTAACCTCAGCCTTCTTTGATTCTTGTAGGTCCTAGAAGTCAATCCCTTTAGGAAGTATCTAGAAGCAGATGGAGTCTCCTTAAATGAAGGAACTTCCCAACAACTGGACTTACCAATGTTAGAGTGGTTGGCCTTAGGAGAGATCAGATTCTCCATCGTTGAAGTGTTCACACAGAAAACACTTCCCTGGGACCTAGAGGAGATCCTGGGTTTGGACAGGAGATGGGATCAGCTGGTCAAAAGAGCTAGGAGAACAGGATTGTACCCAGTCCATTTAGCCCAGCACTGGCTATAGAGATCTCCTCAAGAAAATCAGAGATACCAAGCAAACATTTCATGCAAAGACGGGCACAATAAAGGACAGAAATGGTAGGGACCTAACATAAGCAGAAGATATTAAGAAGAGGTGGCAAGAATACATAGAAGAACTATACAAAAAATATCTTCACAACCCAGATAATCACGATGGTATGATCACTCACCTAGAGCCAGATATCCTGGAATGCAAAGTCAAGTGGGCCTTAGGAAGCATCACTATGAACAAAGCTAGTGGACTTGATGGAATTCCAGTTGAGCTATTTCAAATCCTAAAAGATGATGCTGTGAAAGTGCTGCACCCAATATGCCCGCAAATTTGGAAAACTTGGCAGGGGTCACAAGACTGGAGAAGGTCAGTTTTAATTACAATCCTAAAGAAAGGCAATGCCAAAGAATGCTCAGACTACCACACAATTGCACTCATCTTACATGCTAGCAAAGTAATGCTCAAAATTCTCCAAACCAGGTTTCAACAGTTCATGAACTTTGAGCTTCCAGATGTTCAAGCCGGATTTAGAAAAGGCAGAGGAACCGGAGATCAAACATCTGCTGGATCAAACATCTGCCAACATCTGCTGGATCATCAAAAAAGCAAGAGAGTTCCAGAAAAACATCTACTTCTACTTTATTGACTATGCCAAAGCCTTTGACTGTGTGGATCACAACAAACTGTGGGAAATTATGAAAGAGATGGGAATACCAGACCACCTGACCTGCCTCTTGAGAAAGCTGTATGCAGGTCAAGAAGCAACAGTTATAACTGGACATGGAACAACAGACTGGTTCCAAATTGGGAAAGGAGTATGTCAAGGCTGTATATTGTCACCCTGCTTATTTAACTTATATGCAGAGTACATCATGAGAAATGCCAGACTGGATGAAGCACAAGCTGAAATTAAGATTGCCGGGAGAAATATCAATAACCTCAGATAAGCAGATGACACCATACTTAGAGCAGAAAGCGAAGAACTAAAGAGCCTCTTGATGAAAGTGAAAGAGGAGAGTGAAAAAGTTGGCTTACAACTCAACATTCAGAAAACTAAGATCATGGCATCTGGTCCCATCACTTCATGGCAAAGAGATGGGCAAACAATGGAAACAGTGGCAAACTTTATTTTTTGGGCTCCAAAATCACTGCAGATGGTGACTGCAGCCATGAAATTAAAAGGTGGTTGCCCCTTCGAAGGAAAGTTATGACCAACCTAGACAGAATGTTAAAAAGCAGAGACATTATTTTGCCAACAAAGGTCCATCTAGACAAAGCTATGGTTTTTCCAGTAGTCATGTATGGATGTGAGAGTTGGACTATAAGGAAAGCTGAGTGCCGAAGAATTGATGCTTTTGAACTGTCGTGTGGGAGAAGACTTTTGAGAGTCCCTTGGACTGCAAGGAGATCCAACCAGTGCATCCTAAAGGAAGCAGTCCTGAATATTCATTGGAAGGACTGATGCTGAAGCTGAAACTCCAATACTTTGGCCACCTGATGTGAAGAATTGACTCATTTGAAAAGACCCCGATGCTGGGAAAGATTGAAGGTGGGAGGAGAAGGGGACGACAGAGGGTGAGATGGTTGGATGGCATCACCGACTCAATGGACATGTGTTTGAATAAACTCCGGGAGTTGAAGATGGACAGGGAGGCCTGGCGTGCTGCAGTCCATGGGGTCACAAAGAGTCGGACACGACTGAGCGACTGAACTGAACTGGCTATAGCAAAGGCACTAAACAGATGCTCATCGCCCCATCAGGAGTGCCCTCTTCGATCTCAACAGTCCTCTTTTCAGTGAATGCATGAAACACTACAAAGCAACATAAACTAAGAATTAGATGATCTGTGTATTCAATAGCTATTTGCCAAGCACCCTATTGGTACACCGAATACAGTCTGACAGTCCTATGTGCCTCTCTCTTCTTTGCTGATAAACCAGGACAGATCATATGGCACCAGAAATCAGCACCTCAATGCCTATGTGGCCTGAGAAGGGGATTCAGGGCCTCCAGACTTTCTAAACATGCCGTTGGAAGGTCCCTTGGGGAAAACCTAAGTGATGAGGCCCTGGGATCCCTTTTTGCTCCTGCGCTGCCCACTGAGAAAGGCCGAGAAGGCGGGGGAGCCTTCCGCAGCAGCCAAGGGCAGGCTGGCTGTTGTGGCTGGAGCCCAGACAAAGCGGGTGACTGATCAGCTGTGGGAGGCCGCAGGAGCTCCTAAGTCACAGGTGGGCGCCTGCAAAGTCATCTTCCCAGGGCAGCAGTGGCCTCAGGCCCTGCCTCACTGCTAATCACTGTAAGCACCCCAGTGTCTCAGCCCCACGCTGGGTGGCCCTCGCCCCACCCACCACCCACCCCGGAGCCTGTCCCATGCTTGGTGATCTCAGCCAGCCTCACACAAACCCTGTCAAGGAGGCAGGACAGGTGTTAGGATCCCCACTTCCCAGACGGGGAAACTCTGCCGGAGCCGAGGGCCACCCAGGGAGTGCAAGCCCCAGGCTCCGTCCACAGCCCAGGGCGACGGTGACCCCGGCCTCCCGTGCTGCCCACCAGGACTTTGGGGCTTTACACGTTCTTGCGGTTTAGTTGTTCAGTCGTGTCCGACTCTCTGCGACCCCATAGACTGCAGCCCGCCAGGCTCCTCTGTCCATGGGGTTCTCCAGGCAAGAACACTGGAGTGGGTTGCCATTTCCTCGTCGAGGCGATCTTCCCGACCCAGGGATGGAACCTGTGTGGACTGCAATGGCAGGCAGGTTCTTTACCGCACACCACCTGGGAAGCCCAGGGCTTTACACAACTGGCGCCAGATAGCCAGGGGATGTCTCCTCTGCCTGGGAACTGCTGCCTTTTTTGGACACCGGGAGCCCAACTCACCGAAGTTCCCACCTCTTCCCACTCCATCAACCTCCGTCCTGCTGCTCGAGGGCGGAAGGGGAAGAGCACTGATTTGGGGGCGGTGGGGGGAGGCAGGCATGGCTTGTGCCCGGGCAGTGCTGCCCCTGAGAGCGCGACGTGCACTCTCGGGGCCTGGGGGGAGAGACTGTGCACCATGCACTTTTCTGGGCACGGAGGAGAGAGAGGAGAGAGCAGAGCTGATCTGAATGCCTCGCTGCCTCGCTCGGACTCACACGCCAGGGCACCCCCACAGGCCCCGGAAGCACCCTCTGTCTCCCTAAGCTGTGCCCAGCAGCCTCCGCCGGGGTGGGCTGCCGCGGAGCCGAGTGCAGCAAGAACAGTCCCCCTCTTCTGGGGTCACAGGGCAGCCGGGCCCGAGGTCACGGCCCCGGGTCAGGGGGCGCCCTGGGAGGTGGCAGAGGTCCTCCTCCGTGGGGTCCCTGGACGACATCGCCCACAGCGCCCGCAGCCATGCCCAGCAGGCTTGACAGAGCCTGGCAACCAGGTCCCCAGAGGCGGCAGCCGCGGGGCGGGGAGGGGATGGCAGGATGCCCGGACTCGGGCCGATCCCCCAGCTGCGGTTTCCCCTCAGCCTCGTCCTCCGTGGCACCTGTATCCCAAGGGGCCCCTTGGGAGAGGCGCTGGGGCTAAGAGGTCCACGGCCTCTTCTGCACACGGGGTCGGGCGGGAAAGGAGGCTGAAGTGGGGAGCAGACAGTGTGGGAGCCGTGAGCAGTCAGGCGGCCCGCGGCGAGCCAGGCCAGCGGCAGTTTCCCATGGCACCCTGACTGGCAGCGTGAATAGCTAACCGCGCCCCAGACAGGTGCTGGCGGCCTGGCCTTAGGAGTGCTCGCTCAGGGCCCAAGGTGATTCACTTCCCCTGTGTCAGCTCCGGCAGAGTGAGTCAGCGGAGCTTCGCACCAGCTCTCCCAGCTCGGCTGAGGAGCACACACCCCATCCCTGTGCACCACCTGTTTCCCAGGTCTGCGGGGCCCCCTGCGGCTGACCCCCGAGGTTCAGGGCAGACAGCATCCCTGGTACTCAGCCTCCAGCCCTCCATGCCCGGGACAGCTCAGCGAGTCACGACTGCGACCCACCAGGAGTCCGGAGAGACAGCCCGACAGGTGTGCCTGCAGGCCCGAGGACCAGTGAGCCGGCGTCACCTCTGACCTTTGACAGCCGTCTCCAACCTTCCCGACCCTCTTTGGAGACAGACTAGAGGTGGAAAACTCCAGAACTGATGAACCAAAGGGCGAAACCAGCTTCCCTCTGCGGACCAACAGGGACCGAAGGTATGAAAACCGAGTCCCATGGCTGTTAACATGCTTCCTACTTCCTACGTCGGGGGAGGCAGCGCTGGCCACTGGGGCTACGATTCTGGAGGCAGGCTCCTGTGCTGAGTGTAGAGTAAACCTTTTAGGAGGAATGGCCTGGAAAGACATACAATAACGCTCACCCGGAGAAAAGAAACTCACACATCCCTTCTGCCCCCACTCATGTATGGTCTCTCCTACAAAATAATTATTTTTTTGTAATTAAAAAGACAAAGTTAAAGAGGGAAAAGGAAAAATATGAAAATAGAACACAACAGTTAAAAAAAAAAAAAGAAAAGAAAAGCCTCACTGAAATAGTTTGGGGGTTTACATTTTTTTTTTCATTCTCAAAAAGTCCCTCCCACTACCTGGTCTCTAAAACAGACGGTAAACAGAGATGACATCAAACTGGACAGCGACTGGCTGTCTCCTGGCCAGGGGCTGTCCGCAGGTGTGAGACTGACAGACTGAGAAAAGATGACACCATTTCTATCCTTAGAAGATGAGAAGGGTGGAGGAGGGGCAAGGACAGGAAAGGCTGAGCTCTGGGTGTGGGGTGGGGGGACCCGACACCCTGCCCGCCGCTGGCCTTCTGGGTGAACTCGTTTGTCTAGATGGGGGCCCCCGAAGTGGGGCTCCCTGTTGGGGAGTTTTGTTTACCCCTCACCTCTCAGGTACGGTTAGCTCGAATCACCCCCGAGGGCTCCGAGAGCTCGGGCTGCAAGCTGTCTGCGCTCCACGGAGCACTCCGGACTTTCCAAACTATGTCTTGAGACCCACTGGTTGCCGCCACGGCTTTGGCTTGACCCCTGAAGGGGGCGAGGTGCTTTCCCCGCCACACACACGTCCTGCACATCGCAGCTGCGTCCCTGGCCCCGAGTGGACTGAGGCCAGAGGGGAGGGGGCAGACTCCACCCCGGCGGCTGGCTCGGGGGACCGCATGAGTCATGAGGCCTGGCCGGTGACCGCGATGTCCCGGGGTGAAGTGGGAGGCCTGGGGGATGCGGCCTGATGCAGGGACCAGAGCCATGGTGACTCAGACTGGGCCCCGCGGGGAAGTTCCGTCGCCGCGTCCTCTGGATGGCTCCTGTCACCCCCCCTCCCCTGGTGAGGTCATCCCCAGGGCCGCTCAGAACTGGGACTCGCTCAGTTCTCTGCGAGCGCCTGGCTTCCCTCTCAATCACAGTTATGGCAGGAATGATCATTTTAGCATCCGCACCTCTCCACCACCCGCCACACACACACACATGATGGATGGACCCAGGCAAAGAGCCTGTCCTCCCCCCCGGGCATCAGATTTTTCATCTGTAAAAACAGGTCTTCCTCCTGATGATATCACGCAGGAGCCTCCGGGGCTCAGAGGCAGTGAGCAGACTGCTCGCTGAGAGGAAGTCTGCTAAATCCATGTGAGTGGGTGATATTCTAATATTACTGTTTGTGACTACTGCTCCACAGACCTGGCCAATGGGCCATCTGCCTTCATCTCGCCGGGCCACTGGGTCTGAAAGTAAAGGAGTCCAAGGTGATGGGCGAGAAAGTGTCTCCAGGGACTTCCCTGGTGGTCCAGTGGTTAAGAATCTGCCTGCCCAGGAAGAGGGACACGGGTTCGATCCCTGGCCCAGGAAGATTCCACACGCCGCAGATCAACTAAGCCTGAGCGCCTCCAGGACCGAAGTCGTGAGCCCTAGAGCCCAGCTCTGCCACAAGAAAAGGCACCAGGATGAGAAGTCCCCGCGGGGCAGCTAGAGAGGAGCCCGGCTCGCGGCGGCTAGAGCAAAGCCGCGCAGCAGTGAAGACAAGCGCAGCCAAAAGTAAAGAAAAACAGCGGCTGCGCCGCGCCGGCTCAGTAGCTGCGGCCCATGGGCCCAGCTGCTCTGCGCCACGGGGAACGTTCCCGGACCAGGGATGGAACCCACGTCCCCCGCACTGGCAGACGGACACACACCCACCGTGCCACCAGAGACGCCCGATGCCTGCGTGTTTGGGTTTCCTTCCGATTCAGGTCAGCAGAGAGCCCCGACTGCAGCTCCCCGTGCTCTGCGGGAGGTTCCCGTTAGTTACCTGTCTATCCGTACTGTCAGCAGTGCGTGTACTGACGCAGGTCAGTCCCAGCCCTGTGATCTCTCCCGCTTCCTTTACTTCTCCTCCATCACTGCCAGTCTCTGCTGACCAGTCTGCGGCCTGCCCGAATGACGCCCGGGGGCTCCGCCCGCAGGGATGCGGCAGATCCGGCCCCCGGGCTAAGTCCCAAGCCCGACATGAGGGCCTCCGCTGAGTGAGGCGGGCACAGCTGTCGAGGCTGAGTCCCTGGGGCAGGCTCCCAGCCTGCCTCCGCTCCGGCTCGCGCCGTGGCTCCCAGCGCCCTTGGGGGGAACGCCCGCTCGCCCGCCCCCAGGCTCCCCCGGCCCGGCCCCCGGCCCGGGCACCCCCACTCCTGTCCACAGACTCCAGGCTGACCCCTGCGCTGGCCTTGAACTTGATGGAGCTGCTGCCCGCAGAAGGCTCTTCCCGCCTCCGCTCCCCCAAGCGTGTGCTCCGGCATCAGCTTCTCAGGGAGGCAGCCGCCCTATCCAGGGCCTCACCCTGTCCTCCCCACCCAGCCCAGCAGCACACTCGAATGCCCACATTCTTGCCACAACGCCATCACCTCCTGCTGTACTAGATAATCTACTTATTTACTACACCTGCTGCTTCTTACAGACCCTCCCCTGCCCCGCACCAGAAGGCAAGCTTCGTGAGATCAGGGTGGTGTTATCTGCCTAGAACAGCCGTACCACACAGCAGACGCCCAACAAGGATCTGTTCGATGAATGAATGAGTGAACGAATGAACAAATTAACGAACGAATGAACGAACAAAAGAGGGCATCATTGCCATCAGAATGGGGCAGAGAGGCTGTGCCTCTCATAGAATGAACTGGCATTCAGGCCGGCAGGGGCGGGGGGGGGGGCATCACCCAGGGAAGGGAAGGGAGAAGGCTGGCTCAGGCGGAGAGCTCTGTTCTCAAAGGCCATGCCCACAGCTCACCTGGAAATCCCCTGGAGTCACTCATTAACCCTGCCCCCCCCCCCACCGCCCACACACAGCCTGCCAGTCACCCAAGCCCAGACAGCAGCTAAAGCACAGTTTAAGCCACGGACTCTCCCTCCCAGGCCCAGCCTCCCACCAGGTAATCCACACCACCGTCTGAACACCCCATCTGAGCAGACCCTACCAGGAGCGGCGACAAAGGCGGTGGGATACACGAGACACCCCAGTCCAGGCAAACAAGCCCCGCCACACCCTCACCGGCCCTCAAGGCGATGCGCCAGCTGTGGGGACCACCGCGGCCACGGGGTCCTCTGGGCGGGGGGTTTGGAGAATGTGAGGCATACAGACGGGCACCTGGGAGACCGTGGGGGAGCACAGAGGCGGGGGAGGCGACAGTTCGGTCTTGGAGTGCGTGTGCGTGCTGTCACTTCACTTGCATCCAACTCTTTGTGACCCTGTGGACTGTAGCCCGCCAGGCTCCTCTGTCCATGGGATTCTCCAGGCAAGAATCCTGGAGCAGGCTGCCAGGCCCTCCTCTGGACGATCTTCCCGACCCAGGGATCGAACGCACGTCTCTTACGCCTCCTGCGCTGGCGGGCAGCTTCTTTACCACTAGCGCCACCTGGGAAGCAGGCGACTGGGACAATTCACTGTCCCTCGGAATAGAAAGAGACCACAGCGCACCGGTGCAGGCTCTGGCTTTGCATCCTGGCTCCCCTGCTAAGTAAGTGTGCAGCCTGGGCAAAATGACGGGGTCTCAGCTTCCTCCCCTGCAGGTTTGGTCCAGCATGACTGATCGGCTTGGCTTGTAAGAGGTGAGAGGGTGTCCATCTCAGTAAGAGCCCTGAAGAATATAGCCTGGCCTGAATTAATCGTGATGACTATTAGAATTTATCAGCCTGAGTCTCGGGACCTTCTCGATGGCTCCTGCCTGCCAGTCACGATGCGGGGCTGGTACCCAGGCGTGTAGGGATGCCCAGACAACCAGGTGTGACATGAAAAGAGAAGAACCCCCCAAAGCCAGAGAAGCTTCAGGGCTGTGGCCGTACCTTGACTTTGGAGTGCTGCTCGCCTTTTATCTTGTCCTGCTTTCTTGGCTTGAAGCATCTCTTCAGGTCAGCCACAAGCCTCTGATTTCACCTGGAAAAAGAAGGAGAGATTTACGCCAGGGAACAGGACTGTGATGCTCAACTTCAAGCTTCAGACAAATGCCAGACAGTCTCCCAGGGACACAGGGGCTTCTAGGGGCTCAATAAGCATAAACCTGTGTGGAATCAGAACGAAGGGAGAAATCCATTTCCTATCTGTCATGTATGTGGCAAACTGAGGAAAGCCTTCAAAAGAAATACAGGTTATCCGCATGATAAACCAGACCGAGAATAAACTAGACACAGTGGGTATGACATGATAGTAACTGTGTTCAAATTATGACGAAATTTATTTTTTTCATTTAAATGTATTTACGCTTAATCAGAGGATAATTGCTTTACACTACTGTGTTCGTTTCTGCCGTACATCAACACGACCCAGCCACAGGTACACACACGTCCCCTCCCTCTTGAAACTCCCTCAGACCTCGAGCCACCCCATCCCGCCCCTCCAGGCTGTCACAGAGCCCCGGGTTTTAAATCCACAGTTGACCTTTTCTACAAAGATGATCTGTGGCCACAGTCCTGAGTTGGGGAGCCTTTTGCTCAAGGATTCCTATGATGCTATTTCTGAATTTTCACATGTTCCCATCTTATGTATGTTTGGATTCACTGAGTGAGATAACTCACCAGGAACACCTAGCCCTGTGCTCGGCCCCTAATGTGCACTCGGCAAATATTACCTATGCTTTTACTAAATTTACTCCTTTGTGGGTTTCTGGAGAGCGAGGCTATTCCACACCATCCGCAGAATTCCTGAGCAAATGGGCACAGTTATCAGCGTAGTTGCTGTTGCTGCAAAAAAATAGATATTTAATCTTTAAATTCGACCCCTGTAAATTCAACTTACTGCAGAAACCAAGAAGAGTAGTATTTCAAAAGGTGTTTAAAAATAGCTCTATTCTCAGCTTCCCCATCATTAGGCTCAAAGAAATCACTGGAGATCCTTAGGCTGGCAAATGAAAACAGAAGAAAGAGAAGAGGGGGAAACAATACCATCAGATTTGAAACAGAAAACCTGTAACCTTCGCTCATAAGAGAAAGCGTTGTTTGGGTGGCGTTTGGCTCCTCGCTGGATGCACACACATCATAGCGGGGCTTGGATCGTGCACTCGTTTCTAGAGTTTCCGAGTTCCAGGGCCGAGCCAGTTCCCTGCAGCCACCGGACCCGGGTCCCTGAGAACTCCAGCACCCCTCCCCCAATCCCGGGGACACATGTTTGTTGGGCGGGCTTCCTCTCCACACCCAGGAGCTCATCTCAGGACCAACTTCCCAGGCGGTGCGAGTGGTAGAGAACCTCCCTGTCAATGCAGGAGACGCAAGAGATGTGACTTCGATCCTTGGGCTGGGAAGAACCCTTGCAGAAGGAAGTGGTAACCCCACAAATGGGCACCCACTCCAATATTCCTGCCTGAGAACCTTGTGGACAGAGGAGCTTGGTGGGCTATGGTCAGTGGGGTTGCAACTCACACGTGCCAGAAAACTCATTAAAAAGAAGCATTAAAACAGCAAGATGGGGCTTCGAAGCTGAGCCACCTTGGAATGGCTCACTGGTAATGAATTCCCCTCCGATGCAGGAGCTACAGGAGAAGAGGGTTTGGTCCCTGGGTCGGGAAGATCCCCTGGAGGAGGAAATGGCAACCCACTCCAGTACTCTTGCTTGGAGAATCCCATGGACATAGGAGCCTGGTGGGCTACCATCCACGGGGTCCCAAAGAGTCAGACACAACTGAATGACTCAGCACAAGCACAAAACAGCAAGATACTCTCCAACTCCAACCCCAGTGTCCAGAATGGATTCCTGTTCCTTAGTACTTTATGCAAAGCCACCCCGATGCCCCACCCATGTTCATCTTATTAAGTGGAAAGCATCTGATAAACCCATCAAGCTCACACCTGGTGAGTGGAAATGAATCCAACTGGCCTTCCAGGGGAGATGGGAAATGTCACACAAGTGGATCTAAACTTACCCTGCCCCCATGACATCTCAGTCCAGCCAGGAGCAGATATTGGGGAAGGAGGGAAGGGGACCCTAAGGGAGGGGGTCTTCTTTAAATCCTACGGTGAGATGAGGCGGGGACTGAGGGTCCCCAGACATGGCTGCTCACTGAAATCACCATTCCCCGGCCCCGGGAAGCTGGAAAATCACACTGAAACCTGGGTCCCATCCCCAGTGGTTGTGATGGGTCCCAATTAAGGTCCTGGCGCTGGGTTTTTAAAAAAAGGGGTTTTGAAGTACCCAGGAATCTACCTAAGGCCAACACCCAGTGGGCACAAGTCCAGGTCTCAGGACACTTTTAGGGGGGTTGCAATTTCTTTTTAAAGTCAGAAGGAGCTTTGACAATAATATTAATGCCTACAAAACAGTGCATCCAGCCTGGGTTATAGCCACCCTTTTATGAAGGCGTAAAATATCATTATTATTTGATTGACTTTTATAGGTAGGAAGGAGACCCCAAAGATAAAAGTACCTGAAGTCACAAGAATCTTAATTCAGCCCTGAATTTACCTATTTCCTTCCAATTGCCCGACCTGCCAGTCTTTTTTCCCCCTAGATTTAAACAAGTTCTCTGAATGAGGGGTCAGTTTGCTAGTTTTGACTCTGTTACAAGCATCAGAACCCTACTCTCAAATAGAACGAAAACAACAAAGGAGATGGAACTTTTTGGTGCACTAAAAAGTCCAGCTGTGTTTGGCTTCAGGCACTCAACTTGCCAGGCTTCCCTGAGACCCTCTGTTGAATCCCCCCCCGACCCCCACCCCAGCCCGAAGACTCTCCCCCAACTGCTGCTCATGGACTTGCCCCCCGACTTGGGTGGTTCCACCCCAGGAGCACTGGGCTTGATTCTCAGCAGGCAGATGCCCCAGTAGCCACCTTCTCCCCTCCTCGTGTGGAAGCAACATCGCCTGGCAGGGCAGAGCA